AACAACTCGACTTTCAAGATCTACATATCTACACGTGCCGATGTTTCCGTTTATCAACGTTATATTTTAAGATCTGTGCAATAACTCAGCTTACAGATGTTTCCGCATATAAAAGCTATCTTCAAGTTTTGTACACCAAAAAAAAACTTTTCAAATTTTGTATTTCATAGTTTTGAAAGTGACAAAACTTAGTTCGTATTTCTCTTTTTGTATTTCTAGAAAACGTACTTCATAAGTTTGTACATAACGAAAACTCTTTTGGTTGTAACGTTATATATCACTTGTTTTTTAATTTCATCGGACTCACAAGGCTATCTTTTTTCAGGCATGTCTGACGACCTTAGCAGGATAGAAGATTTTGACCCAATTTATGAAAACATATATTCTCCGAAGCAGAAACTCTATGCTTCTTTTCACTAGCTACTAGAATTTGAGTGCTTTTTTCCTTTGCTAACTGTTCTGTATGAAAACATTTTGCATTGAAAGCCTTATTAAAGCTTATTGAAAATCAACTAACTGGCAAAGGTGTTGTTAATTCAATGTTTTGATATTGTTGAACCCTTGTCCAACTTCTACTGCAGCAGTAAGGCGCGTGATAACTGAAAGTGTTTTAATCATATAACATCCAAGATTAAAAAAATATTCCTTCTGTTGGTCATATAATAATAATTACAAATAAAAGTCCTAGTTAGCTAAAACTACTGCCAAACATGTAAAGAAACACGTTCATTTCATTAGTTGAAGCCCTATGAAAATTTGAGATAATTAAATAAGAAAAAAACTGATTGTTGATAATTATAATAAATTATCAACGCTTTTGGCTTGAATCGATCGCTAGATTCTGTTAAATCTATCACGAAAAGACACGTTAAAATTATTTTTATTTGATGTAAATACTCGATTATTGTCTATGAAATTACAAAGCACATAAAACTTTTTAAATTGTACCGATTGTTTCTGAAAGCTGAAGAAATTGTTAATGTCATTGCAAAGATAATCGTTTAACCAAATTGTTTTAGTCTTAGAACAGTTTAATCATCGACTTATATTTTTGATATCTAGCTCTTAGTAACAATAAAGTGTTGGTAAACATTTAAGTAAAATAATAAATAATTAGGTTTAAAGCATATCAGTCTTTATAGTGAAAAACGTATTAATTCACAACTTTATGGAAAAAATATATAACAAATTCTTACGTAAGCTGTTCAATACATAATGTAATCCTAGAGTAGTGCTATACCTTATTCATTTCGTCTATCGTAGTTTAAAATTTTTATACACTTTTTTTCAGAAAAAACAGGTCTTTGGATTTCAAGAATGTTTTATAAACATATGTTGAGCAATTGTGTAAGACTCCTTGAGTTTAGTTTTAGGCCGGAATTTCTCCGTGAAGGCTTATAACGTTAAATATCGGGTTTTGATACCCGAGGTGGGCACAGCACAGACAGCCCATTGCGTAACTTTATATTTAATAAAAAACAAAATTTATATTTTGACTGGTTATTTTTAAGTGTATTTCACCGATGTGAAATACCATTAATAAATTCTTTTCTGGAAAATAAAAATATTCTGGTCTTAACTTATCAGACTTTCATAAGGAAAAAAAAACCATGGATCAAATTTACTTTTAATCTCATGTAACGTTTAAATGACAAGTCACACAATATGGTAAAAATACAGTTAATTATTACTTCATTCGATACGATTTTGAATTAAGTAACGTTTATTCATTAGGTTACTAGAAGAGTTGAATTAATTTCCTAATCTGATAACTGCGAGTTGAATTAATTTCCTGATCTGGTAACTGCGAGTTGAATTAATTTCCTGATCTGATAACTGCGAGTTGAATTAATTTCCTGATCTGGTAACTGCGAGTTGAATTAATTTCCTGATCTGATAACTGCGAGTTGAATTAATTTCCTGATCTGATAACTGCGAGTTGAATTAATTTCCTGATCTGATAACTGCGAGTTGAATTAATTTCCTGATCTGGTAACTGCGAGTTGAATAATTTACCATTTGACTTTCACTGTTTACATAACCAACAGATTCTTCATAACACCTGTTAATGTTTTGCTGTTTCCAAACAAAATATGATTTCTTCTGACAATCCGAAATATAAATGACAATTCTCGTAAATATGATAAAAGTCTTTCCATATTTGCTGAACTCGAACCAATACCAAAAACAAACAAGTATAAAAATACACAAAATATTACAAAATGCTCTTGTAAATTGGTATATCTATATCATAGAAATAAAGGTAAAACACGTGTATCTGTTCAGGATTATAAGAATGAGGTTATCCCTCGGCGAGACAGCAATAAGTTTACGGACTTACAACACTAAAACCAAGGTTCGATTCCCCGCCGTTGACATAGCAGATAGCCCAATTTATCTTTGCTCTAAAACAAACACGAGAACTGGGTTATTAAAGATATTTCACATGTTACACTGATCAGTAGCATACGATAGAACATTAACATTACCACTCAAAACTTTCATTCATTACTTTTGTTAACGTTATTTTTTTTTACATACCTGCTTATTATAATAACACTTACATTCTGATACATTGTTCAAAACAGACACTCTTGTCCTCCTCCAAAGCAGAATCGAGTTGTATACAATGTTAACAGTATTATTTATATTCTTATATTATTTCCTTTTCATTCTATATAAGAAAAGAACGAGACTTTGATATTTATATTGATATAAATTAGTTAAAGTAAAAAAATTATAATATCCATGATATTGTTTTATACCTTTACTCGTGCAATAATAATATCTGTATTCTGCTTTCTTTATTGGTGGTTCAAGTCCTTGTTCGGTTATATTTGAGAACAATCACTTGGTTAATAACCTGCCCCAGTCATAAGATCGGTAGCAGAACCTACAAAAAAGGTTTTTTATTAAAGAATTTTACAAAACCATTTAGTAATTTGTTTTGGATGGGGGAGTACAGTATCTTACAGAAACTAGCAATACATTATATACACCGAAGCTTTCAATTGCTTCTTATCGTCTTTTCGAACAAAAATAATAACAATTTGAAAATACGTAAAAAGTCAACGAAATGTGGCTTTTCTAATGCGCAACATCATTCTTAGAACGAACGACTTTGCGATATTTTGTAATTTGTTATTTCTGTGTAATACGTTGCAACACACCCTTTTCTCAAAAAATACGATTTTGGAGATTGTGAACAAATAATGATTTTTTGTAATGTAAAATCATGGTAAATAAAAAAAAGTATAGGTCTGACATTACTTGTGAAATGCGAGAGTTTCCGTAGAACTTCCATCGCAATTTACAACTGCTAGATGTAATTGTTTTTGACAGTAGAGTAATACATCGAATACTAAGGCTACTTTATAAGTAAGCATCTTGATCATGTAAAACAATTTATATACCATCCTACTACTATAACCCCATTAGCCTCCATTCCGTTTCTTAAAGCGAAGGACGTTTTTGGTCTTGTGCTTAACGTATGGGACTTCTAATCGAAACATTCTGGGCTCGAAGCTCATTCGTCGCTGTTAATTTTGTCTTTAATCAACATATTTTGCCTAACACTTATATTAGTCTACTAAACTCTAAAATGGGTACCACCAATGGCTGGAGTTTAGTCTGCGATGGTCTGGCACTCACTTTTGTTTTTGTGGATTCTTCTACAGTAAGTGTCTATGACTCGTTGATGGTAAAGGTAACAATGAATGAGCAGCAAGCACTACACTTGTTTCAAATCAATATGTATATTATGAACTAAATACACACAAATACATCAGCACAGTCATAAACCCTGCCTTACCCATAAGTTTCCTACGATCTCCCGATTCTTTTGTTTTTTGGGAGGGCGCCATCAGCAGATGTTATATCCACAATTTTCACTGATAAACACCTTACACAAAGGGCGAGAATGTTTGGTGTAACGGGGATTCGAACCCGCGACCCTCAGATTACGCCCGATACTTTATTTTTTTATTTTTTATGGGGGTGCCATCAGCAGATGATATGCCCCCAAGTTTCACTGATAAACACCTTAATCAAAGGGCGAAATAATATAATCATACAACACAACAAATCAATAATAGTCTTTTGTATATGACATAAATACCTCTTCAGGGAAAATATTTACAATAAATTTCTTTTCCACGATATACAAAGACTTCTTCGTTCACATACGCAGTCAGCTCCAACATTTGCAGTCCCTTTGATAACTTCTATGCGGAAGCTGTAGCTCTGAAGGTACAACGCCCACCTCATGATCCTCACGCTGTCGATCTTGCACTTCTGAATGTATGCAAGTGGTTGATGGTCTGTCTGGATGATGAACTCTTTACCATATAGATATAGAGACGGTTTGATCCGTCCTTCTTCTTCACTATTACCACTGGTGAACAGTAGGCTGACTTTAACGGCTCGATGATTCCACCTTCCAACATTGCCTCCACGCTGGGCTTCACTCTGACTGGATCTCTGATTGGGGTCTGGATCTTGTGTTGCACAAGGTCGGTCTTTCCAGGTTTATCCGTGAAGATATCTGCACATTGGTACAGTAGATCTTTGTAATACTTTTTCTTTGTTGGTCAGTCAGTTCTTCGCTATTGTGGACGTCTTTATATGTCTCATCTCCACCTAGTAGTCTTAGGTCTAGTAGGTCCTAATCTTCTCAAAAAGGTCACTCTTTTCAGGTTCTGCATCTATAACTGCTAAACCTGCAACATTTTAATAGCTGCACCTGTTAGATCTTCTTATCTCCCGAAGTACTTCAACAACTTGGCATGGTAGATCCTGGTCTTTCCATTCACATTCACCTTGTAGTCCATTCTGTTGAGTACTTCCTGTACTTCAAAATGTCCTTTTCAGAGTGAGTTTGTTGTGATCTGTGGGCAGCAGAACCGAGAACTTTTGTCCAACCTTGAAATGTCGACCCTTGGTCTAATTATTATATTTTTAGAAGTTTTTCTGACTGTCTTTGGGTTTGGCTTCCCCAGTAAAACTAATATGATAGGTCCGGTTTAATACTCCTTTCCGGTTCTCTGTTCTGTACGTCTCTTCTCTCTTTGTTTTGTGCTTGACTTCCTCTCGGGCACTATCCCTAAGTGTTTCAAGTACAGTTTCCTGCTAACCCAAATATACATTTTTCATGTGTATTCAAATAAACATTCGCTTATATGCTGTTATTACGGAAATATATTGTTGTGGAACGCTAGTTAGTACTCTAGGAACATTGTAGGGTACATTTAGTGTTATTTTTATGATGAAATACAATTTATTAGGCTATTGCTAATTTGAAAATAAATAAACATGTGCCACTTGTCACCTGAAAAAAAATCCTCTTCTCAAACTTTAAAACCTATCACATTTTCAGATTTAACAAATCGTTACTCTAACTTCTTATTTAAATTCCGATACTAAAATTCATTAACCTTTGTTTTCCATTTCTTTGTACTGGAAACTGTCAGAGATATTGTCGAAACATATAAGTAAAGCT